GCAAAGGAGGTGTGGCTTAGGGATGAAGGGGGAGGAGCTTACCCCAAGTGGGCGGTTTAGCCCAAAGGGGGAGGAGCTTAACCCAAGTGGGTGGGGCTCCTAAGAGGTGGGGCTTATCACAAAGGGGGTGGGGTTTATCAGAAGGGCATAGGGTTTATCCCAAGTGGGTGGGGCTTAAAAGGGGTGGAGTTTATCACAAGGGGGTGGGGTTTCCCGCCATAGGGTGGGGCTTATCACAAGGGGGGTGGGGTTTACCACAAGTGGGTGGGGTTTATCACAAGTGGGTGGAGTTTATCACAAGTGGGTGGGGTTTAAGGCAAGGGGGCGGGGTTTCTGCCAGAGGGGGCGTGTCCCACCTGCAGCAGCCATCGTTGGGCAGGGCCCTGGAGCCGGGGGTGTCTCCGGGCGGCCCCGAGCAGGGCTGTGACCACCCCGGGGTGGCCCCGGGCCAGCGGCTCCCCCAGGGCGGGGCCCAGCTCCGAAAGCACCTCCTCCACCTGCGCCAGGGGGCGGGGCCACGCTCAGACACGCCCACTTGAGAACCACGCCCCTCTCAACCCCACCCAAAACAGTCACGGCCAATGAAATCTTCCCTTTAAGCCCCGCCCACCCCATACGGCCACACCCAATCAGGCCCCACCTCCTCCTGACTAAGTCCCACCCACTATGCAACCACACCCCTTTAAGCCATGCCCCCAGGCCAGTAGGCCCCACGCACCCTGCGACCACACCTCTTTAGCACCTCTCTCTCCCCTTCAGCCCCACCCACCTCTGGTGACCACACCCCTTTAGCCCCACCCACCCCATTTGGCCCCACCCACCTACAACCCCATTTTAAGCCCCTCCTCCTTCATTAGATCCCACCCCTTTAAGCCCCGCCCCTTCCCAGCAAGCCCCACCCACCCACTCAACCCCAACTATCCCAATAAGCCCCACCCCCTTCAGTGACCACACCCCTTTAGCCCCACCCACCCCATTAAGCCACACCTATTCCTTTAGCCCCACCCCCTCCCCGTTAAGCCCCGCCTACCACATCTTCAGGGGCGTGGTCCAGCAGCCTCTGGAGGCCGTGATTGGCCACCCTGTGGGAGGCCACGCCCCTCAGGTGCCCCCGCAGGTGATCCCGGAAGAGCTCCCGGATTTTGGGCGGGGCCAGGACGGCCAAGGCGGCCTCGACCAATCGGCTGCGCTCGGGGTCCCGCAGGGCCCCCAGGAGAGAACTGGGGGGGGATTTGGGGAGGGGGAGGGTCAGGGACACGCTCATGGGAGCGGCCAATCAGGGCGTGAGGTCGGGGACACGCCCATAAAGGGGAGGGGACAGGGCGGGATTGGCTGGCCAATCACAACAAAGGGTCAGGGAGCAGCGGCCAATCAGAAAAGAGGGTCTGAGGTCCCCGACCAATCGGGAAATGGGGTTAGAGAGCAACAACCAATCAGCACATGGGGTTTACGGGCAGCAGCCAATCAGAAAACAAAGGTCAAGGAGCACCAACCAATCAGAAAACAGACTCTGAAAGCGCTGGCCAATAAGGAATTGTGGTCAGGGAGCACCAGCCAATCAGAAAACAGGGTCTGAGACTGTTGACCAATAAAAAATTGGGGTCAGGGGGCACCGGCCAATCAGCACACAGCACTTGGAACCATCAACCAATCAGAAAATGGGGCCTAAGAGCAGTGGCCAATAAGGAATGGGGGTCAGGGAGCACCGGCCAATCAGCGCAGAGAATCACAGAACACCAACCAATCAGAAAACGGGGGTCTAGGACCACCAACCAATCAGCACACAGGATTTAGGAGCAACAACCAATCAGGAAATAGCAACTCAACCCACCAGCCAATCAGAAAACAGGGTGCAGGATCCGCAACCAATCAGAAAACTGGGTCAGAAATCACCAACCAATCACAGGCTTTC